TTCCAGGGCAACTTTGAGTTACTGTATATGAAGGCCCTCTCTGGAGCTAGTCACTCTAATATTTATGGATGCATTTATATCCAACATTTTGACAAATGGAGTTTGAATTTTTAAATACTGTAAGATTATCAAAGTATTCAAGCTAGGGTGTTAGGTAATAGTTTTCATTGTTGTTGAGCAGTTAATAATAAAAATAAACAATTATTGAAATTATTTGCAGAAAATAGATTATTCTACTGTATTTGAAGTCTGGATATCTACAATACATTGACCAATACAGTACCGATCACGGGAAAGTTAACAATCCCGTATCCCGTCCCGCGGGACGGGATTCCCGTCCCGTGGGACAGTAATCCCGTCCCGCGGGACGGGAATCCCGTCCCGCGGGACGGGAATCCCGTCCCGTGGGACGGGAATCCCGTCCCGCGAATATTAAAATCCGAATTTAAAATAAAACGTTAAGAAATATGACATTTCGCGCCTAATTTCCGAACTTGGAAACGTAATTGGCAAGTTCGCAACGAAGTTGGGAACCGCGCGTTGAAAAGTGACTTGAAATTGACAATAACCAAGGTCTCCAGTAGCTATATTAATCCAAAGTGGTTTCTGAATATGTATGTACACTTACCTGCAGAAAGATATAAAATGTAGGCTAGAATATCTTTCACGCTTCAACATAACAAAATCTTTAGATTTTCGTTTAATTTCTCCGCCACCTCCGACCATAACAACATCTTTTGTCGCTATTCGTGAAACGCTATGCAACCGCATACTTTGACACTTTAGACTCTTTAGTCAGTTCACGAAGCATTTCGAGACTTTTTTCTTTCAATGTGAACACTCCAATTAGACAGAGCAGTGAAGTTTTTGCAGTACAGAACAAACCGGCCGAATGAAAAGCTTGCGACCTTGTATCGGCTTTTGTTAGCGCGTTCGGAATTATTTTGGAGTCGATGACTCATGTTGTTTGTCAAAAACAGAACATCGATCGGTTTTCGGCATTGTCTATTGAGACCAAAGACAGTGGGCCTTTTGTCTTGATCGGTTATTGTCTTCTGAAATTAATTGCGCTGTGAAATCTCTTTAACTATATAGCTCGTAGATTTTGTGAAAACTCGTAAGTCCCAAAAGGCAAAAAAGTCTCTAAACATCCAAATAACGGAAAATCCATTTCAAATCTCAAAAAATCTCGAAAAAAATAATATAAAAACGGTTTCAGCTTTGAACAAATTTCATTAATACTACCATTTTCGAGCTTCCGTGAACCGTGCATTTATAACTACGATTCAAAACGTTTCTTCAGCATGAGTTTGTCAATCATAACCTTTTGTTTTGCAATAATAACTTTTGTGGGCGTGGTGTCAAGCACATTGTTTTGCACGCGAAAATTTCTTCTTATTTTTCACACGGACTGACTTTATACTGACAAAATTGCTATAGAAAGCGAAATAACAGATTTATA